AAATTCAATCATATTTAATGTAAAACTCCATTATTTTCCTAAGCTGATTTTTCTATCCAGAGAAAACTGTCAGAAAGTTCTGTGTATCTTTCCTAGATCTTCATGCATTTACAAAAATGCTTATTAAGTTTCCAGGAAAATGGGTTTCACAGATTGTTCCCCTAGCACATGAAGTATATTCTGTAAACTGTTCTGCATCTCTAGTCTCCTTAATAAATTGAAAATATATCTTAATGTCCATGTTCTGTTTTATAATGGCTATATCACGTTCCCATGGTGATGGACATTGAAGTTATGTTCAGGTTTTGGCTATTAGAAACAATGTTTTACTGAGCACCCTTTGTGATTTAGCTCTAGGAACCTCTATTTTGTGTGTGTGCTTACACTGAATTTCAGATATGCACAGTTTTAATTTGGATAGTGTTGCCAAATTGCACTCAGAAAGGGGTATACTAATTTATAGTCCCACCACAGTGCTGAACTTAGAGTGTAGTTCCACCTTTGATATTATGACGGAACAGGTAAAATTAAGATTGCCTTTGGTCATAAGGTCTTAATGAACACCTATTTCATCAAACAGTGCACACCTACTATGTGTCAGGGATTCTTGGATTCTTCACATATTATCAGAATTAATTATACCACAATCTTTCAAAAGAACAGTATAGTAATAGCGTATTTATTAAGCTTGTAATATGTGCCGGGTGCGCTATCAGACATTATAAGTGTCACCTCTTTTGGTTTATAAAACCAATTCTAATAGTTATCTTTGTTCTGATGAGAAAATTGAGATACATAAAACATTGAGTTACCTAGTTACACAGTTACTTAGTGATAGAGACAGGACTGAGATATGGGATTGATAGACACTGAAGTCAGTACTTGACTTGGGGTGTGGGGTGTTACACTGAGCTCCCAGATGGAACGTTTATAACACATGGGAGTTACAGCTGAACTTAAAAAGTAAAGTATACTGGGAACACGGAAGACAGAGCTGACTGGGGAAGAAGTGAGGCAGGGAAATTTATACTGTGTCTAACTACGTTGTTTCATTGCCTTTTTAACACTTCTGTATTTCCTGTCCTGGAGATACTAAGCTTTTAATATTGAAGCCATCCTTCATGCATTTTCCATTTTCATCCCATCTCCATTCTCTCAATTGCTATTTCCTCTATATCAAACTGGAATTCCTTTGCAGTAAAATCTAGCTCCCTTAGTTCCTAGCAGTGTTACCATCTGACCTCTTTTAATAGTCTAAACTATGATTTAGATTCTGTATGCATCAGTTCGTCTTAGACACTGAAGACTAATCTTTCAGTAGCACAGCTTTGGTCATATTCTACATTTCAGCACACAGTGCCAGCCTCGTGTGTGTACACACTAGGGAAGAGTGAGCAAAACAATACTGTTTTCACTCTCGTAGAACTACATAATATTGTGGGAAAAGCAGCTATATATTTAATAACTGATTCAGGAATGACAGAGGATTCTGCATTATCCAAGAATCTGTGATAGGGTAATAGGACCTAATAGTGATTGGTGAGAGTCCCTGGAAGAAGTGGCACTCAAGAGCTAAAAGATGAATAGGTACTAGGCAAGGAGAAAAGACAAGCTGGCAGAGGAAATAGGTGCAAAAGTTCTGGAGCCCGAAAGCATGGCAACCCCAAGCCTAAATTGGCTGGAGTGAAGACTGGTGGAGAGTTCTTAAAGACAATCAGTTTTGCAAAGAAAAGCTTTTGAAATCTTTCAAGCAGGAGGTATTTGATATGAGCAGATTTGCATTTTGAAAGATTACTCTGCTAATCTTTCAATGGCTTAATAAAAGTGGTTAGTAAATATGAAAAGGTGTTCACAGTTAATGTTACACATTTTCTTTTATCAAACTGATCAATTTAATTCTGGCAAGAGTCCCATGAAGAACTAGTACTGGTGGCCATTTGTACAGTTTTCTGAAAGGCAACTGAAAATAAGTACAGAGAGCCTTAAAAGGGCCATATACTCTTTCCATAATAATAAAACATGCTGGTTCACATAGTCCTCCTTTCTAGTATTTAACAGTGGAAAATTGGAGGGGATGGTTAAACTGTGGTTCATTCATGTGAAGGCATTTGGCAGCTGTTGCAACTGTTTTCAGGGATAAAAAAATGAAATGGAGGGAAACAGGACACAAACTATAGTTGGCCCTTGGACAACGAGGGGCTAGGGGCACCAAACCCCTGTACAGTCAGAAATCCCCATAGAGGGGCGCCTGGGTGGCTCAGTCGTTAAGCATCTGCTTTCGGCTCAGATCATGATCCCAGGGTCCTGGGATCGAGCCCCGCATCGGGCTCCCTGCTCCGCGAGAAGCCTGCTTCTCCCTCTCCCACTCCCGCTGCTTGTGTTCCCTCTCTCACTGTCTCTCTCGCTGTCAAATAAATAAAAAATCTAAAAAAAAAAAAAAGAAATCCCCATAGAATTTGTGACTCCCAAATACTTAACTACTAATAGCCCTCTTTTGACTGGGAGTCTTAACTGACAACATAGTCAACATGTATTTGTATGTTACATGTATTATCACACTGTACTCTTTAATATAAGCTGGAGAAAAGAAAATGTTAAAATTCTAAGGAAAATACATTTATTAGTACTGTAGCATATTTATCAAAAAATCCATGTATAAGTGGACCCCTGCAGTCCAAACCTATGTTACTTAAGGGGTAACTGTATATGTAATATTCCAACTTAACTTTTTTTTAAGGCAAAAAAAATACAAATTCTTAATAGGGGTTATTTCTGGGTAGCAGAGGATCTTCTTTTAATGCTTTTCTTGAGCTTTCAACTTCACTACAGTGAGTAAGAGTTGTATGATCAGAAGAACTTTTTAAGAAAACTGCAGTCCTCATTGCTTGGGACATGACAGTGGGGGAATGGGTAGGAGGCTTTGCTTTAGGCTAGGGAGTTCCCAACTTCCCACTCTAGAACTGGCCTAAGGTCTCAGCTTGAGCACCTGTGATAGGTGTCTCATAGATGGCTCTCCATACACAGCTCCCCAGGGAGGAGCACAGCGCCTCCTATGGTAGCTGATGGGTGCTGGTCTGTAAGTAGTCAATACCCACTGGCTTTCTGGGCTGAGACATCCCTTAGTTATAAGGAAGTAGACTTCCCAAACCATAACTAGTTTGGACATATTTCTCCCAATCCTGTGAGCACTAGAGAAGATAATCCACTTAAGGTAAGTAGGGGTCTTGGCTTTAAAGCTCACGAAAAACTGAGGCACACTTTGTGCCCCTGAGTATGTTACTCTTCTGAGCCAGAGTGGCCTATAAAAGGGACTGCTGCCTACCTACCTAGAGGATTAAGTGAGATAATAGATGTGAAAGTAATTTCCTGTATTTTTACTTGGAGAATCTGCCCTATAATCCAGACTGGTTTTCCCACCATGTTGATAATGATGGAAATACAACTTACTTGTCCAGTGGCTTGAAATCTAGCTGCACGTTTAGGGTCGCAGAGCTTTAAAACAAAAAACCAACATACAGAGACTTCCAGGAAGATTATAGGAGTAGGAAGATCCTAACATCCAATGGATACAATGAGGTAACACCCACATCAGTGTAAATAACCCAGAAGATGATCTGAGGACTGGCAGAACACATTCTGCACAGCTAAATGCACAGAAGAGGCCACATCAAAGAGGGTAGAAAGGGCAGAGAAATAGTGGGGAGTTAAACTAAGGGCGGGTACCTTTGGGAGACTTTTTCCAAGAACAAAAGAGCTGGCTGGCGCCATCTCCCTCCCCCATGCCCTGCCCCCACAGACACCTGTGGGAACCAGTGCAGCAGCAACACTCTCTCCCTAACTTGCTAACAGTGCACCTGCCCCTGCATTCTCCTGTGGACACATCCCCTCCAGCCAGGCCTGTAGGGCTCCTCCCACAACAGATCTGTGCATACCTTACTGACACTGCATGGCCCACCCCCAGCTCTTCTATGGATCCACCCACCCCATCCAGCACCACCAGCCCTGGTTCCTGGCAGCTCCAGGTCTTTCCTGCAGCAGACCTGCCGGACCTTGCTACCACCACGTGTCCCACCCCTGTGTTCTGTGGACCTAACCCCTCCAATATGCCCTTGGCCAGAGCCCCTCCAAAGTGGTGCCCCGAGCCTGGCAGTGTGCAAGCAGCCCCCACAGGGCCCAGCACCACTCCAAAGTGACTCCTCGGGGGGACGAGGAAGATAACCATACACACCAGTTCAACTGTGGCCCCAATAGTGGGCTAGGGGCAAAGCTGCTCAGTGGACAACACAGAAAGCATCCTGCAGTTTGGTGCTACTGCATCTGGCAAACACCTGGTCTGACTCACTCAAGCCCAAGGCGGCCCCAGACTGGCTTACTAACAACACGGGGACCAAACCCTGCACTCAACAGGCAAAGAGAGACATTGCAGACGGACTGGAGGGAAAAGTGGCTCAGCCACAACAGTAGGGAGCATGCAATACACGTAAGAGACACCCCTGAAGTGCCAGGTTCTGGGGAACAGAGGGCATTATACTGCAGGGCACTACAGGACCTCTTCTTCATAGGCCCACTACTTTCAAGAGCAGGAGACGTAGCTAAGTTTCCTAACAGAGAGAGAGA